AGATCACAGACCTCCAGGGCTGTGTGGACACCGAGCCGCGTCCCACGCCCCCTCAGCCCGCCCCTAAGCAGCCCGAGACCCGTAGGCCAGCCGGGGTGGCCGGGAGAGGCAGGGCGCGCCAGGCCCACCTACGGCCCGTCTCGCACCCGCAGCGCTTTGCACTTTGCTGAGTCCAGGAGGCCTTTCTGGAGGGAGGGGCGGGATACAAGTGCCCGGGCTCTGTGGGAGGACCATGCATTCGCGGGGAGAGGCCGCGCATCCCACCCAGGACCGTGCATCCGCGGGGTGGGGGGAGGGCGTGCATCCACTGGAGGTCTCATGCACGGGAGGTCATGCATCATGGTGCGGGGAATCACCCATGCACGGAGGATCGCGCATTGCGGGGGTCCACTCAGGACCGGGCGGACGTCCTCAGCAGGCGGTTGGGGTGCACCGTGCTACACTGGCGCGCAGCGCTGGGCGGACGCCGGGGCAGGGGTGGTGAGGGAAGGGGTTGGGGTGTTGGAGGGGTGAGCGTGGCAGGCGCCCCCCTCGGGCTTCCCGGCACTCACGCGCGCTCTGCTCGGCCGCCAGCAGCAGGGCGGAGAGCCCCAGCAGCCCCGCGTGCAGCCCCGCGTGCATCCTCCGCCGCCGCGCCCGCGCCCCCGCCCCGCCCCCTGCGCGCGCCTGAGTCTGGGGGGGGGTGCTTCCGGCGGAGACCCGACTGCGGGAGGCGCTTGGGCCCCAGCGGTTAGACGTGCGGTGCCTGGCTCTGGTTTATCCCACGTCACCAGCGGGGAGACGGAGGGAGCGCTGAGTTTTCTGGCTGCTGGGCCGGAAAGTACGGATCAGATGGGGTCTCTCGATGTGGGCAGGAGCGTTTCCTCACTGTCCCCAGCCTTACAGCGAGCCCTGGAGAAGAGCTTGGTGACCTGCAGGACTGCAGGTCGCTTAGCCCGGAGAGTGGCTAACGGTTGACCGGCCGCTGACTGGCAGGCGGGTTAACCACGAGTCAGGGAGTGCGGCTATGGGGGCGGTGCGTTAGAGCCCTTAGTGGGTCTGAAACCTTACAGGGCGTGTTAACTGGCTCGTCCTTGTCCTCTGCATCTCACCTTCAAATCCGTCCCCGTCGCTGCCCTCACAAAAGCTTTTTCTAGATGGGCTTTAGGGGGAGTCAGGATTCCAATTTGCAAG